GAGTTTAATTTAAACCCAAGATTTGCATTTCTTACTCATAACTTTTGCCCTTGTACTTCCCTCATTGCTTTAATGTTGGCATTGAATAATTGGAATCAAGAAAATCAAATTATTTAAATCTTGACATTCAGATGTCTTTATCAATATGTGTTTGTGGTAGGGGTAAAGGGTCCTAATGAGGAGGAGGCAGCGAGGAATACTTCTGACCAGGAGTTGGTAAACTGGACATAGTGGAACACTACTGTAATCCCAGCTAACTGGGAGGCTGAGACCAGAGGTTCACAAGTTAAAGGCCAGCCTCAGAAACATGGTGAGATCCCCCCCATCTCAAAGAAAAAGAAGGGAAGGAATAGGTAAGGAAGAAAAATTCAGAGAAAGAAAAGGAAGGGAAAGGAAGTGAAGGGAAGGGAATGAAAGAGAAGACAGGCTGGATCCACAGGCTTTCCTATGATTTTACACTGTTTAGAGCAGATGGATTAGCAAAGAACAGATTCTCTATTTTCTTTTGACTCATAATCAACCCCAGAAATTCCCAGTGTTTATTCTCAGAGCAAATTTAGCTGGCTGGCTCCAAGAAGACTTTTCCAAGGGGATCTTATGTCAAGTGTTAACCAAATAATGTTTCCCTTTTGAGGAAATAGAGTATCTTCCTAATATGTTAGCTTCCCTTTTCTTCTGAGGATGATGATGACCTTATCTTCAACAATATTTATGTACTTACAAATTACAGATGATATGAGGCTTACTTGGATATTGTAAATTATGTACTGAAGACAAAACACATGTAATAATCATTAAGAAGGCAAACTTGCCTTAATTCTTCTCCAGCTAACAGTACTTAAAAAGAAAATGTTGCTCCTATAATTTTATGAGAGAAGTAGGAGGATTATTAATTCTGTAATGTGGCAAAATACAATTATCCATAGGTAGTTAAAATCAATTACATTCTTTATGCTATTCATATTTTATGAGCTAAAAAAGGCTAAAACTTCTGTGCTCAAATCTGAATTGCTTTATTCAAATTGCATTTCAGCATTCACTTGATTATCTAATTAGGCTTACTGGCTTTTGGAAATAAGCATTCTAAATTTGGAAATTTACTTTTTTGTCTCTATTCCTATTTCACGTTTTTGGAACCCCACATACTGCTTTTTCATTGTTCCCTTACCTTTTACTTTGTCCCAGGATACTGAGAAGATAAACCAAAGGAAAAAATACACTCCTTCCACACACAGTTGCTATAACCTGGGAAAACTTCTGAACTTCATAAATCAAATACTGATGCCGTTGTCCTTTATATAAGAGATTAAAGTTCATAGAGGAAAATGTAACAACTGTGTTTTTATTGCCCTCATTCTGTCTATTCAAGGATGAACCCATGATTCTAAGAGTTTAGCATTAAAGGAACCTAAGAAGAGAAGAAAAAGAATGTAGTTTATGCATCAAATATTTGTGATATAGATGAGAAACCGGAGAGAATTTGTTTTGTTGTTAAGAATAATTTAATAAAAAAAAAAAAACCTCTCAGGAGCATACTTTCCTTTTGATTCACTCAAGCGTAAGTATGAAGTTACATATCCTCCCTTAATCACAATATTAAGCAAAGGCAGAAAAGTGATTTTTCAAATACTCAACAGAGAGAGGACAACATAAACCCCAAAAAAATCTTGGTAGTTCACAACACATTTCCAGGTTTTAGAGGACTTCTCTTAGGTCAACTCAGAAAGGAAATTATTTATCGTACCCATTTTCTTTCTTCAAACATTTCCAGAGGTGATAACTTCATATTCTCTGTAATTTATTAAAAAGATTTCTTTGTAATCATACTGGGTATGTATCTTTGGGCAGAATATCAGTATTTATAGTTACTTAATATATTCAATTTACTCTTGCATTTTTGCCATTCATGATATGTATTTACTTTCATAAGAAAACAAAATCAAAATAAAATAAATTCTGAGGAAATTAAAATATGACTATTTAAGGACTTGGGTGCAAATGTCATATATATAATCACATAGAATAAAACCAACCTAAAGATATTTACTATTATAACCAAATTCTATTTATTCACACATTGGCCCAGTGTTTGTGAAGTGCCTTCTTTCTGTCCTGTAAGCTTCTACAATCAAGGGCTATATCGGCTCTAGTTTTCCTTTTATTTCTTGGTGTGACATAATTCTTTGGTAGGTATTCAATAAAATGTCTTAACAAGTAAAATAATCAATGAATAAGTATGTAGTTTGAATATTTTCTTTGCATTAATGTAGTGATTGTTATTTCTCTCTTGTCTGAGTTGGCAGCCACAGATGATTTTATAGATGACAGATCATATTTTACAGATTTAGTTTGCTGTAGTTAGAAACAAAAACATTGTCTTAGTCACTTCTTCATCACTGGGACAGAATATCCAACACCTCAATTTAAAGGAGGAAATGATTGTTTTGGCTCACAATTTGTAGAGGTTTCAACTCTTAGTGATCTGGCTTCAAGGGACGGCAGCAGGGGGGATGGGCATGGTGGAGGCCTGTTTTCATCCCAAAGCTATTGTACCCATTTGTAGCCAGATTATGGTTTAGCCTCCAGGGGATCTCAAATGAGCATAGGGAAATACTCCTCCTTGCACTTATAACTAATGCAGAGGACTCCTAGGAAGTGTTGTTATATTTTCAGAAATTTTTGTTAGGGTCTGGGACTCAGGAATCTGTCCAAATTTTTCTGATTTTTCAGGAGGTGGTTCTTCTATCAGTACAAATCAGCAAGTGTGATTATGCAGCAACATGCAGACGTGTGTGTGTGTGTGTGTGTGTGTGTGTGTGTGTATGTGTCATTGGTACACTCATTAATCTGTAGTTTCTAATTTATGCATCACTTGGGTATATTTCCTGCCCCCAGCATAACCAAGAAGCTGCTTCATGATCGAGTGTGCCTTGGAACTTTTCTATACATAGCGATTCCCAGTGCTGCGACAGGGTATATGACACAGAGCTTTTCTACCTAGGAAAGTCAGTGAGGCCATTTTGACTGCTTCCGACTTTAAAGGTACCTGAATCTGCAAAGCAGTGAGCAATCCCCAAATCATCCATTTGCAATTTGTAAGAGACATCTGCTTTCTGTGATACTTTATGCTAATCTATGCCATCACCCTGTTAATGAAATTCTCTCTCTGATGTTGTTTGTAACGTTTCCAAATATGTTTCTTATTGCTCAATCAATAAGAACTTAGAACTTAAAAGCCATTAGCTGTAAATACCATTACTTTAAACAATACATGCAAAATGATGTTCCAAAAAGAAAAAAGAAAAATGATGTTCCAGCTAGTTGAGCAGCATGGACTTTTGGATGAATTCAGTGTATAATGTAAGTCCCAGAGCTTTTACGGTTAGGATAAATCCACTGCCGAATAATCTATTTAGCTCTTCTTGGCATCTGAGCGGTGACACTCACCTGACTCTGAACAAAAAGTTTCTATTATGTCTGAATTCATCTTCCACTGCTGAGCTACTAGTAATGACCTGTACTTTGCAAGGTTTGTTACAATGTAAGTCTTTGGAAAAGTAAATGAGAAGACAGCCTATTTTTATTCTCTCTATGGTGGAAGATAAATGTTTATAAATATGGTTAATGAGAGAGGAGCTTATAAATAAAATTCAGATATTTTCTCTTGCTGTATCATATATCTTGATATGATGGAACTTTGATAGTTATCATTTGTTCTCTATTTTGCAGAATTGAGCTTTCTAGGGAGAGGTGAGGATATGGGTGTTGTGAATCCTTGGGTTTACTGTTTGGGCAAATAGCATCAAATTACCCTTTGGGCCTTTTATGCGAATTGAATAAGGTATAATGGAACTTTGTATTTAGGTCTTCAGTTCTTTTCATTTCAATTGTAGTCTGTATGATAATATTGAAAGACAGTGACAAATTAAACCTTACGGCCCCACTTTATGTGATGTTACTGTTAATGAAGGTTCTATATTAAGAGAGCGATTCTACATATTTAGCTCAGAATCTGTTGTTACATTTTGTAAGTGACTAAATTACAACTGAATTACTTTAGTAAGCCCAAGTAAGTAGTTAGCAATAAAATGTATATTCCAAATATTCCAATTATCAGTGCATGGTACATTTTATTCTTGTCTAAGAGAAAATACATTCTAAACTCTGTGTGTGTGTGTGTGTGTGTGTGTGTGTGTGCATGATTGCACACATGTGTGTGTATTCTTCCATTTTTTCCTATGCAGTCTGTCTTTGTCTCTGTTCTTTCTGAGCCTGTTGCCTTGGTTACCATTATACACACTGCTAGTGTGTGAAATTCTCCTCTGATGTACATTTATTTCTATGGAAACAATGATGTCATTGGTATGGGTAGGTGCTTGGGGAAAGCAAAGTGAAAAAGCATTTAATATTGATCTTTTGGGGGGTCATAAAATATATCATTAAATTTTGAACTAGAGCTATGTTTTGCTTTTATTTTGATTTAATCATCAAGTTATATTTTCCTGCTTTATATATTTGCTTGAATAAAGTGAACTACAGTACAAAATACAAAATTACAAATACAAAATTTACAGATCCTATGATGATGTGCAGTAGCATAAAATTTACCATAAATACATGCAAAATAAAAAGTCACTATTTTAATCTTAAAACTTTTGTCAGAGAAAAATTCATTTTAATAACATTTGTTATTGTCAAAATATTGTGAAAGATAATTTTTATTCACATCAATCCAATGAGCAATGTATAGAGGATGAATAAAAAATGAAGACCATACTGGTAGTCATGATCTTAAACATCTCTAGTTCTAGAAACACAGAGGTATAAGAAGAAACTTATAGGTATTAAAACATCTCTATAACAATAAATAAGTCCATGTATAATGGACATTTCATTTTTTTAAGACTATAGAGACTTTAAATCTTTTTTTCTTTCAACATCCATCTTCCTGTCTGTTCTATTTCCCAATGCTTCAGTCTAATTTTTTTTTTTCATTATAGATGATGTGGAAACCTGCCTATGATTTTCTCTATACTTGGAGTGCTCACTATGGAAATAGCTACAAAGATGTATTACAAGACCTTCAATCAGCTTTGGACAGAATGAAGAATCCAGTGACCAAACAGTGGAGAGACTTAACTGGAGCTTTACTACTAGTAAACTCTTTGGAGGTTTTGAGAGTGACCGCATTTGCTATTTCTGAGGAAGTATAAAAATAAAGATGTAAAGTGTTTACTGGGGGCAGGGGGAGAGAGAGAGAGAGAGAGAGAGAGAGAGAGAGAGAGAGAGAGAGAGAGAAATAATGCAGAAAATATTATACTTATTTCCTTTATGTTTAAAAATTATTTTTAACTAATGAAAGCAAAGCTTAGCATTATATTCAAAACTGGGTTTTATAATCAAACATTTTTTGTGTGTAAATTTAAAAGGCAAACACTTTGTTGAGAAAACAAAGTTTTTCCCTCTCTGAAAATTACTTTTCACTTTCTTAAGTTAAAATAAATGATATTAGAGTAATTCCATCATACAGATACCTGGGTAAAGTAAGGGCTGAATAAAATGGAGTTTTTACCAGGAGAGCAGGAGCAGATACTTTCTGTAACCGATTTCTTATTCCTTAATGGTGTTTACCAGCATTATTCCCATGCCACATATGGAAAAGCCAATGAAAGAAGAAGGACACCCAAAGCCAATGTAAAGTAGATTTTCTGCTTGAAAAACTTGCTTCTATTTTTTAAAAATTTCACAAGTCAGAATAGTTTTAAAAAAGAGATAAATGAATATTTACATCCTACACCCATAGGTGTACATCCTACATAGCTATTATATTTTAAATGAAGCTTGCTCTTCTTTTTCAGCATCTCTGGAAAGACTGACAGAAGGAAAACGCCTTTTATCAGTCAGGAGCTGTGGTCTGAGTGTAGAGACCTAATGTTTTCACCAGCTTTCTTCAGCATCTTGAGATCTCTAACTCTGCTCAACTCAGACATTTTCTGCAGGATCATAATGCAAAGTAGTCTTTAGCTCTCAGAGACTTTTAATGACATAGGTTATTAAAAACAACCATAAAATCTGATTTGTCCCTGTTCTGGATAGCAGCAGTTTTAACCACTAAAAATACTGTTATCTTTGTGGGTGTGTGTTTCCATATACATACTGCAGTGTTTTACTAAGCTCTTGGAAAACAAAGCTAAATAAGAACTCGAGCCACTGTGAATGCTAATGGATCACAGAGTTCACAAAATGATGATCTGTCTTTTGGTGGCCTGCCAGTGCTGGTGTGTTGGGACTGCCATTCATCTATTGGTACTCCGTTAACATAAGATGTACCTATTTTGTGGTAGGCATATAGATGCTTGAAGTTAAAAACTGGGAAAAAATATGATCCCTGACTTCAGTACTGCTAAATGACACAGAGAGACAGTAAGAAATGACTTCATTAAATGTAAAATGGCATCTGTAACTGTAATGATAGCTGCACAGGGGAGGCTATGATGCTAAGTAATACAGGGAATACAGAGGAGCCATCATCTGAATGGGAGGGAGGCAGGTTTACCCTATGAAGGCAATTAAGACCCCAAATGGGGAACAGGCAGCACCTGGTGTTAAGAGGGTGCTGGAACTCACTAAAGCCTTCTGGCAGGAGAGAGCTCAGCAGTGCAGGGAGCCAGGGTGAAGGAATGAAGGGGTGAGGGTGAAGAGGTAAAGGGCACTGGAGGTGTGGATGGAGGGGGAAAATGACACATTAGGGCCACTAGGACCTCTAGGACTTAGGAAGAGATGGCTGGCCCCCAAAGGTAATGTGGATGAGCTGAATAAGGATTTTGTTGCAGCATCCTGAATAAAACATGTCCATTTGGCTGAAAAAGTAACAGCAGAATCTTCTTATGGTTTTTAATATACCCACCCTGGGGTTTTGGTAAGCCAGCAGAGGTAATTTAAATTAGAGTATAAGCACAATCTTTGAGGCTTTCCAGATTTATATTTGATGATAGGAGGACACATCCTGACCAAGGAGTTATGTACACACATTCAAGGACAGATTTTCTTTTGAATGAAAATAAATTTAGAGAGAAAGGAACATTTTTTAAAATTGTAAGTTCAGGACATCCTCATTTGGAGAGTGAATTTGCTTCTTTAGAACATTCTTAGAATCTTTTAACATGTCAGCAAATGGGACAATTTTGGGGAGGCATAGAAAGGAAGTCATAACTGGGTTTCCAAGACTGCAAGATCTGAGAAGACAGAGATCTTGTTAGTTGATTAATGTAGTAAAATTAAGTAAATCACTTTAGGCTTATACCTCATTGTGTTTTGAGGTTGTGGTTGGGAATTTTAAGAAGAGTTTTAAGAAATGAAAAACATGATCTCTGTAATTTAAGGATGAAATAATGGTTTACATATTCTTATACACAAAGATCTTTTATAATCTTACAACAAATCCTTCCAGGGGAATTTTAAACCCATATCTAAACATTCTGTTCTTATAACTTTATTCTAATACTTTTTATTTATAAGTTGTTTCTACATTCTGAATTTTATATTTTCTTACTGTAATGGATTTTCATAATCAGAAAAAATTAACTTAGTAATCATGAGTTGACTGTATTTGGCAGAAAGTCAATGGAATTAATAAGGCACTTTCAGCCTAGCCTTGACATCGTTAAAAGTATCAAAAGCTATTAATCTAAAACTTCTTTAAGCATTTCAAAAGTGGGAAAAGCTTAGAAAGTTCTTTCAGATCCCCATAATAATACATGAATTAGAATGAGATTTTAGTTCAGTCCCTAGCTTGCAGTGTGACCATTTTTCTCTATAAGCCACAGGTCCACTATGTTTTTAGGTGAAAGTCTTGATTTAAAATGGTAAGATTCATCCAGCTTAGTGCCACTGACATTTCCTACCAATAATGGATATAAGGCCGGGGATTTAGCTCAGCGGTTCGGTGACCTGCCTTGCAAGTGCAAGGACCTGAGTTCAATCCCCGGTACCAAAAAGGAAAAAGAAAACAAAACCAATAATGGATATAGCATACTTCATGTCTTGGGTTGTGGAAAATACTTATATCAACTTTGAACATGGAGATAATTAAGTAGCTGGAAGAAACAAAATGCTAAATCAATGGGTGGAGTTGGGGCAAAAGATGTTATTGCTACTGAGCAACTTTGAAAATGTGATATGAACATAACAATAGCGAAAGATATATTTAATTATATAATGCCATAATCGGAGCTTTTCAACTTAATTTCCACATGGTGCTACTTTAAATGATATTTTTGGACAATGTTTTAATGCCTAAGGAATATTTGAGATAATATAAAAAGAATGATGAAAAAATTATATCTCTGGACTCTTTTCTAACTAAAATAGATTTTTTTCTATGATACATACATAGCTCTCTCCTCTCACTTTCTATATTATGTTTTCTCCTATACAGCATAGTGAGAGTAAAATAAACTCATATTATCCACAGATTAAATATCACTAACATGCTAAGTAAAAGACTCTAAAGACATTCTTCAGAATAACGTAATATGGTTTCTTGCATGCATGTTTACTGGTCCAAAGCTCACAAAAGAAGTGACTGTCTATACACAAAGGACTAAAAATCACTTTATATAATATTTCCACTTAAAAGAATTTTGACATAAGTTAATAAGAGCCTAAATAATTTTAATTGTAAAACAAATTAAGTAATTAAAATATCTGTATTATTTAAAGTATAAATCTATTCAAGTAAAGGTGGTTTAACAAAGTTTGGAATATTTATTCAGTACAGTAATATAATTTTGTAAAAATATATATAATAGTGCACAGCCATAAATTAACCTTGATTAAAGCCTGATTTTTACTGACATGTCATTTGTTTGACTCAAATTTATTTTTCCTCACTGAAAAAATATTTTAGCTAATGTGATAAATGTAAGTATCTACAGGCTTCTTTCATTTTGGAATTATAAAATAATTACAAGTTAGCCAGATGGTCTCTTTCTAATGAGCAATTCTACATTGAAAGAGATTGTGACTGAGCAGGGGTAATAAACTGACAACCAGACTTTGCTATTAATACACCAGGTCTCATTCTCTGCCATCACTTCTTCTTCTTTTCAAATGCTTTTAAAAGCATTTGAGTGACATTTAAAAGCATTGGGTGACAGGGAGAATCTCTCTCTCTCTCTTTTTTTTTTTTTTGTTTGTTTGTTTGTTTTTTTGAGACAGGGTCTCACTACATAATTGAGACTGACCTGGAACTCACTATGTAACCCAGGCTGGTTTTGAATTCACAGCAATTCTCCTGCCTCAGCCTCCCGAGTGCTGGGATTACAGGCGTGTGCCACCATGCCCGGCTCTCTCTTTTTTCTTTTTGTACTTGAAAGCAGATTAAATGTTCTTAACACTATTAAACATTTTGGAATGTGTTGGCACATTTAATGTTTTCATGTAATTATGATTATTATTGATAATCAAATCTCGGTTATAATAGAATTACTTATTTTACTTCAACTTATTTTTACTGCAAACTCAGCCTTTAAAGCAGAATTTAGGCTTGGCAAGTTTGGTGTAGTATTAGCTTCACATATGTTAGGTTAAATGGTATGAAAAAATTAGCTACAGAAATGCTGAAAGGGACTTAGCTGGGATTTATTTTCCCCTTTCCACCATGGGGAAAAGCAAGAATGATGTGAAAGGGCGACAGTTTCCTCATGTTCTTATGAAAAGAGGTGCTTTTTGGACATATCTTTCTGTCATTTTTTAAAAAATATCTTTACTTTTTTTCTCTAATCAATCATAAGATAAAAATTAACTGTTTTCTGTAGGTTAGATTTAATAATACTTAAGACTGTATTTCTTCCAGGTACTGAGAAATATCAGCTAGAACAAAGACAGTAACCATAAGTTAAAAATGGCATATAGAAGTCTTCCGGGAGCTATTGTCAGAAAACTTATTTCAAATTGGCTTACACACAAAGAACTTATACTCCCTCACACTGAAAAATCCAGGGGTGTTGTCAGGCATTCCAGGATTCAGGGCTTAAAAGAGTGTGACCAAATTTGTGTTCAGGTTTGGATTTAATTTTTCTCTTCCCTGCTTTGGATTGTGTTAGTTTCATCTTTGGGCTTCCCTTGCTGGGCCCAGCGGCCCTGGATTCTCCCTTCATGGTGACAAGATAGGTGCAAGAGCCCTACCCTCACATGAACACACCGTTGGGTTTCAGGGTGTTCCATCTGATAATGTGTCACCCTGGCTACAC